TTGCATAGGTTATTAATGCTTGGACTTGTCATATAGAGCCTAAGGGATTAGGAGCTTGATCTTCTTAGTTCAGTTGTTTTCTTAAATATATTATCATTAAAGCCACAGTTGGAACCAAACCATGTTTTATCAATTTTCTTTGGTTCAGTTAATTAAATGCCATAGGTGGTGTTTGGAGGAGCTTTCCAAAAGGGATCCCTAGCCCAAAAGGACTTCTACAATAAAATGGGATGTTTGGTGAACTCACAGGAAGAGACTTTTGGAAAAAGTCTAATCTCCTGGAAGCTCGTCTACAGGAAGCCACTCGGGGTGGTTTCCAAAATGACAGTTTAAATTGACTTGTCACGAAGTCTGTAACTCACTAAAGTGTAATATTCCGCTTTCCAATAGTATCCTTATTTGTTTTAACATATTGCCCATAAAACCCTTTTATATCATGATATTTACTAGCCGGAACCTATAAATACATAGGTTTCTGACCTTACTCTGTTCTCCAACATCTTTGCATTACTGTGCATTTCTGTCACATGAACTCAAGACCATAGTGGTCTGCGCAATTTGTGAGTTATTTTTTGTAATGCTATACCTATTCCTTGGTTTTTGCTTTTCTTCTCTTTTTTGTTTTTTTTTTCTCTCACATACATCCATAGTCACTTGTCTCAACATGCTATGATCCCTTTTGAAAGGAAAAAAGAAAACAAAAAAGCCAGAAGGAAACCATTGTTCTAGGTTTGATAGTTTTTGAGAAAGACAGATAGATGTATAATTAAATCTAGACAGTAATTGAAGCAATGGGCTAGGATTTGTAATTTGTAGTTCAGGTTGTTCAACAATAAAGAGGATGGATAGTGGACACGATTGATATAGAGAAAGAGGGGAAAGGTGATCGGAGCTTCGACTCTAATACCAACTGATGTAGATGCCTTAGAAAGAAAGAGAAAAGAGAAGGCGGCGAGAGAAGAATAAGAAGAAGGGGTGACAAGAAGAAGAGAGCCACAACCTAATATCTCAAATTCCATTAATCAAAGCTAAATAATACAATGTAAACCATAATATTTGTAAGTCAAGAAACCTAAACAAACTAGTAAATTGAATCCAAATAGAATAGGAAAATAAATATTATTAAAATCCTAATCAGGCTAAAACTCCTATTTATTATGCTATAATTAAAATAAAATACTAAGATAAATTAGACAATAAATATTGAAGACAAAATTAGAAAAATATCCAAGGTGCACACACGTTCCGCATCAACAAATTTTTGGAGAGTGGCATTCAAGTTTTTTTAATTTCAATTGGTGTATTTGCTATACTCAACAAATGATTATACTAATCACCAAGTCAGTTGGAAGCTATTTGGTTATTTCTAAAATATTGACACTAAACGTTTATTACACGGTGGAAGCACTTTTTGATTTCAAAGGACTTTACAAAAAAAAAAAAATTCACCAAACATTTGTCTTGTCTAGAAATTTTTTTTATGAAGTCCTCTTTACAAAGTCCTTCATGATGAAACACTTTCACTACAAGAAGTTGTGCCAAACAGGGTTCGTTTAGTTCTAGATTTCTAGATTGTGATTTTGGGAACCTAGGCAGCTCAGTTCACTTCTAAATTAGTACTAACTTTAACCAAACCAACCCATGCACAACCATAGATTGATATATGGCTTTAATGTTTGGCTAGGCGGTGGAAGGTGATTCTTTTGTTGCATATGCCACTAAGCCTCCTTCTTGGGGTCCTTAAAGATAAACCTAAATGCAGAGATCACAGACATCCCCAATGGATCTTTATTATGTTCTAGATGTACAAATTCCAACATAGATGTGGATTAATTCACAAAACAGGAATGACATCCAAAGAAGATTGTTGGGCTGCCCTTTCCGGCTTGAGTACCTATAGGACCAACTATAACTTCTTTGCACGACTTGCATGGGCCTTTTTGGACGAGTGATTTTCTTAGCTCACTTTGAAGAAAATCTTGTCATCACAAATGTTCTGTTTTCGTTTACCCTTACTCAAAAAATTGATATTCTCTTATTCAAACATATTAAAAGAAGAAGAAGATCTAAAAGTAGATGAATTGATCATCTCATGCCCACAAGTAAAGTAAATATGTAAACAGGGTATGAATTCAGGGACATAAAAACAAGAAATCCTCATCAACAGGGTTAAAAGAGGCAACAAATTAAAGGCCAGTAAGTCTGTGTCATCCTCAACAGCAAAAAAATTGCAGTTCATTCCCCAAGTTGAAAGCCAATAAGTGAGGCAAGACGGGCAAAACTGCACAATATATAAATAAAAAATGTTGGCAACTTGTATGTATAAAGAACACAAGTCCATCAGAAGTTTATCAACGTAGAAGGAAAGCCAAGAAAGAAAGGGAAAGGGAAAGGTTCTAAGAGTGAAAGTGTTCTGGAGAAATTGAAAACATTTTGGGTGAAGGAATCCAAACGTGTACCGAAGAAGGAAAAGCGTCGTAATTAGAGAAAGGAATCATGCGCCACTTAGGTGTTGTGTTGTAGCATAGGTTGTTCATGGGAGTTGTTTTGGGAGTTGTCCTTTTGCTGGTTGGATTCTTGCTAACCAGTTTTGATGCATTGTAGTGGGAGCAAACTATTGATTTCTCCTTAATCGATGTTTGTCATTTCTTTTTTGCCTTGTAATATTTTTATGGGTGACTTACAGGCCAGTCTTATTGATCAAACCTATTTACCTATAAATTGTGCTCCTTTTTCACTTATCAATGTCCCTAAATAGTGTTGGGGCAAATAAGTACTTTAGAACTTATTGGTGCATTAAAAAAGTATACAAAACTTGTGTGTACTTAAAAAAAAAAAAACAACCATAGAAGGAAAGCCAAACTATCCTTAGCCTAAGGACCAGCTTTCAGGGAAGATACATTGCAGTTACAATGTATATTCAGATACAATCTAGGTAGCACAGACACGAGACACGACACGGACACACATTCAATATATATAATTTTATTTATTTATTATATGTGTAAAATTGAAAAAAACAAATCATTGGAAGGCAATTAAACATGCAAAATAACACTAAAATATTAATAAACATGTTCAACAAATTAGTTTTTTCCAACAAATAAAAACAATTAGTGCTATGTATGTTCAGGTTAAGCAAACAAGAATACCCAAAAAAATAGATAGAAAAAATAAAAAGAGGGGGAAAAAAAGGGAGTATGAGGTATAAATAAAAAAAATTGGGTTTTTGTTATTACAAAAAAGGTATTTTAATACAAAAATATCTTTAATTAGGGACTATTATAGCGACCCCGGTCTTTTCCCATTTCATTATTGTATCCGGACTGTTCCGTAGATTCTGTCTTTGTATAATGGTTGTTGTTGTTATTCCTTATTTTCTCATTTGGAATTATAGGAGACCATCGAATTGAAGAAAGAAGAAGAAAAAAAGAAGCAAAGAAGAAGAATGAAGGACATACCTCGAAGCCCTAGATCGATCGACTGGTTCTTCACCCTCTTGAACTTCAATAGGTTCAGATTTTTTTGCATCCTCTTTTCTCTTCTCTTTCTCTTTGTTGACATTAGGGTTTAGTTTAGGAAAGCAAAATTTTGTGTTTTTACACATTTTACCCCATTTACAAGTTTTTAAAATTACATTTTGTACCCTGTAAGTGCCCAAAACGTGTCCCGGTGTCTCCCGCAAAGAAGAAGAATGAAGGGCATACCTCGAAGCCCTAGATCGATCGACTGGTTCTTCACCCTCTTGAACTTCAATAGGTTTAGATTTTTTTGCATCCTCTTTTCTCTTCTCTTTCTCTTTGTTGACATTAGGGTTTAGTTTAGGAAAGCAAAATTTTGTGTTTTTACACATTTTACCCCATTTACAAGTTTTTAAAATTACATTTTGTACCCTGTAAGTGCCCAAAACGTGTCCCGGTGTCTCCCGAACGTGTCCGACTGCAAAAAATTCAAAAAAAAAAAAAAAAAAAAAAAGGGACACCTCCCATAAAGTGTCCGACACGTATAGACCGTGTGTCCGGTGCGTGTCTGTGTCTAACACGTGTCGGACACTCATACGCTCCCTTCGAAGAGATGTCCGTGTTTCATACGATACAACACCCCATCAAAGTAGTAATTGATATCCATAGGATCCTTTTTTTTTTTTTTTTTTTTCTTTTCATTTTATGAGTTTGTAAATTTGATTGGCATTAGCAGTCATCAAACTTGAACATGAAAACTTCTATCCTGACTGTTACCACTAATTGATGGAGGCATCGACTCAAAAAGTCCTATAGCAACTAAAGCTCATAATCTCTGCCATCAGCAATAGTTGTAAGGTAAGGCAAGGACAGATCTTTTTACTCTTATTTTGTCAGAACAGCTCTTATATTCCCTTTCTTACATTTATCCCCATTTCTGTACTTTTCCAAACCCCCACCTCGCATAACCGTAGTCATATCTATTGAAGTTCTATCTCAGTTAATATGTCAACTAGCAGTCATAAGAAAAATATACACAAAACAAAATTCAAGGTGCCTATTAGGATTCAGAGCCCCCACCCTCCCCATACATCCTTCTCAACTATTCAACAATCACTGCTAATCAGCCTTACTTCACCTCTATCATAATGAATAATTCAACTGAAAAAAAAAACACACACACACAATTTCTCCAAATTAATGAGGGAAACCCCCAAAACTGAATATCTTCTGCACAAGCAAACAATTCAAACAACATTCAAACAGTCAAAACATTGTTAAATGACCCATCACTTGAACAGTTTACATAGATCATGTATGTTTTTATTTCTGTATCTATATTAAACTATTATAATTAATTAAAAATTTGGGTAAGCCACAAATGCCCTGTACTCCACAAATACAAGTGGGTTTCAGAAATACAATATGCAGCCAATTAACCCAGAAAAATCTGTTAATCAGATTGCTAAAATTCAATAAAAAATCAACAAAATTTTCAAGCATGAGATCAAGAGTGCATGTACATTTGACAAAGCATACCTCAGCAGAACTACCACGAACCTCTCTCAAGACAACCTTGTCGAGGCCATTAATGCCCTTACAGTGCTCCACATACACCCTCTCGCTCGACATCGCATCACCACCCTAGATCCTTAGGCCCAAATCTCTCTCTCTCTCTCTCTCTCTCTCTCTGTGTATATATATATGGAATCTGGAATCTGGAATCTCGAAATCTATATGTATTGATGGGTCGGAGTTGGAAGCAATCGGACAGAGAAAGGAGAGTGCACCTTGGGTGCTTTTGCTTTTGGGTCTTCCAAATACGAAGTGGATAATTCTGTATATTTTATAATATATTTTTTTTCAATTTCTTTATGATTTTCAACAACAAACTACATTGATTGTCATGAATTTGGCCTTGTTTGGGAAGTTTATCAGTTTGTTTGGTTCTGTTTGTTAGAAAACAATTTTGAGAAAATTTTACTTTTTGTGTTTTAATATTTTTAATATTTTAAGCAATTTGTTTTAATTTTTAAACACACCTAACATAAATACATTTAAAAAATATAATATTTGTGAAATTTTTTAAAAAAAATACATTAAATACCAAAAATACAAAAAAAAAACACGAAAATTCAATACATTTTTGTATATTTGTGTATTTATTAATTTTTTTAAATATTTTTTCACAAATATTTTACTATCTAGATATATCTAAGCAAAGTGCATCTAAAAAAGTAAAAACAAAAATTGCTTAAAATTTAAAAAATATTCACTAAAAACAAAAAAATACGAAAAACAAAAGCACTCAGTTTTTAGAAAACTGAAATCAAACATACTGAATTATTTTAGTTAGTTATTTTTATTTTTTTGTTATTTTGGTTTGATTAAAAAAGTTGTGTTTGGGAAGATAGTTAGATTTTTTTTTTTTTTGATAGTTGATTTGATTGTTATAAAAGAAAAAGTGAAATAATTATGGGTTAGATGGGATATTTTCTCTTATTGACTATTTTAACTTATTTTGTCTTTATTGATTATTTTAGCCCAAATAGTCCTTCGCAAGCCGGCTTATTTGGCTAAAATAAATAATAGCAAACTACACTATTATATTTTCTCTCTCGTGTTACTTTGATCGTTATATTTTTAATTGATTTGATTTTAATTCTTAATTTTAAATTTTGTATTAATTTAATTTAATTGATAACGCCATTACCATTTTTTACGAAAAATAATCACAGAGAGTTGAAGTTTAAACAAGTTTATCATTTTATCCTTATAAACATGATACTTGCCGCTTATATACATGCTTTTCATGCTAACCGTTATAATCAATTTAATCAAATTGAAACAACATTATAAATTGAGATTAAAATCGAACTAATTAAAATTATAAGAACTAACATGGCCTAGAAATCAAAGTATGACAACTACAAGCATAATTTGCCCAATAAATAATTCCACTAACCTTATTTGAGATATTAAAAATATATATAATAAATTTTATAAATTTAGTATCATTACATTAGATTATCTTAAAGTTTTAATTAACGTAATATTAGTGTCATTTTCATCAATAACTCATTAGACATATGAATGAAAAATAAGGAAGTGGAGATGTTGCTGCGCGGGCTGCGCAAAAATGGGTTCATTTTGGGGCTCATTTTTACGAAAAATAATCACGGAGTTAGTTGAAGTTTAAACAAGTTTATCATTTTATCCTTATAAACACGACACTTGCCGCTTATATGCACGCTTTTCATGCTAACCGTTATAATCAATTTGACCAAATTGAAACAACGTTATAAATTGAGATTAAAATCGAACTAATTAAAATTATAAGAACTAACATGACCTAGAAATCAAAGTATGACAACTACAAGCATAATTTGCCCAATAAATAATTCCACTAACCTTATTTGAGATATTAAAAATATATATAATAAATTTTATAAATTTAGTATCATTACATTAGATTATCTTAAAGTTTTAATTAACGTAATATTAGTGTCATTTTCATCAATAACTCATTAGACATATGAATGAAAAATAAGGAAGTGGAGATGTTGCTGCGCGGGCTGCGCAAAAATGGGTTCATTTTGGGGCTCATTTTGATAATTCGAACTATTCACATGTTAGAATACATCAAGTAGAATATGTATGTAAAAAATTAAGTTAATTGGATATCGTTTACCCATTCATCCACTCACATTTGTGTCTATAAAAATAAATCATAATTGTAATTTAAAGTATTAAAATGAATACAAATATGAGTGGATGAATAGGTAAACGATATCTAATTAACTTAATTTTTTGCAAGCATGCTCTACTTGATGTATTCTAAAATGTAAACGGTTCGGATTATCAAAATAGGCCCCAAAATGGGCCCATTTCGCCGCATAGCAGCCGCTGTTGTGCAGCCCGCATAACAGCTTCTCCACTTCCGGAAAATAATGTTCTCATATCTTTTACATTAAAATATATATTTTATATTATTTATCTTTGTATCTTTACGTCATCTTCATTAGTTCGAATCACATTAACCTTACTAAAAGTGAGATCAATATAATTACGCTAAAATGATAAGGATTAATATGTTTTCTCCAAATATCATAAGAGGTGGGTATAATTTACCACAAAGAAAAAACAACAAAACAAATTTTAGTTGCTAGTTGCATTAGAATGCTGCTATTAGCATATATATTTTATATTATTTGGCCTATTTTGGGAAGTGGGTTATAATCCACTTCCCAGATTATAACCCACTTCCTTTCTCACAAAAAAGTTGCTTATAAGCAGTTTTTCACCGAAAAGCTAATTATAACCATCTTCCCAAAATAGCCCAATCTTTGTGTCTTCACGTCATCTTCATTAGTTTGAATCACATTAACCTTACTAAAAGTGAGGTCAATATAATTACGCTAAAATGATAAGGATTAATATATTTTCTCCAAATATCATAAGAAGTGGGTATAATTTACGACAAAGAAAAAACAACAAAACAAATTTCAGTTGCTAATTGCATTAGAATGCTGCTATTAATATCCCATGAATTATTTTGGACCCTCAAATTTTTAGATTTTTTTTAATTACAACAATAACCTCAAATAAAATTACTAAAAAAGCTATCATTAATTTTGGGACATCTCATCTCACAATTAAATCCACGCACCCACTATATCATAAATTAAGATTTATAAGAATATCCACATTCATCACCACCCATCCATCTTCTCCAAATCCTACCTTATCCACTCTCAAAACCTTGAAAACCCTTTGACAGTAATATTCCAACAGTAATAATGACAACCATTTGCTTATTTACACTTCTTCGCAATGACAATGAGTGGAAGTTTTTCCAGCAAGCACAACTCCATAAGATAAGAGGAGTACAACAATAAAAGCTCAAAGGAGATTCGTAACTTTGATGTTGTTCTTAGCTCAAATGGGATTGGCTTTATAAGGGTAAGTTTATTGAAGAAAATAGCAAAAATAATAAATATGTTCGTCATTTTTTCGGGACTGAACTCCTAAACATATGATCGAAATTCAGGAACACAAGCTCAAACATTGTTTGTTTGTTCGGAAATCGGTAATCGAACATTTATTATTTGTTTAGAAACAAGCCCGAGTGCATCATTTCACTTCAGTCGTAGGATCGAGTGTAACGACAACTGAAACAATGGAGTTGGGTGTAGACATATGAAGTTCTAGTGAAGTAGATGTACATGTTTATAACATATTTTTTATTATCTGAAAATTTTCAGTTTTATTTCTTTATGAAACTGGTTGGTGCTACTTATCTTTGTTAATCAAAAGTATTAAACTTTGACCAAATGATATTGGTTGATGTGTAATTTTCTTCGTTAATCAAATAATGTTAGACTCTGATAGGCTGAACTGGTTGTCAGACGATAGACTTTATGTTTCCTATGGTTCGGGAATACAGGCCTAAATGTTACTTATTTGTTCAGGAACGCATTCTAGAACAAATAAGTAATGTTCGGGAATGCAGGTTCGAATATGAAAATTTCTTAACACTTAGAACGGTCAAAATTCTTAACGCTTATAAAAGTTTTTATTTTTTCAAGTTAGAGAGAGAGAGAGAGAGAGAGAGCTTATTTGATAGTGTATATATAGAGAGAGATAGAGAGATAAAGAAATTATGTGTATATATATATATATATATAGAGAGAGAGAGAGAGAGCATATCAATTGTAACAATGGTTAAACCAAAGAAAAGGATGAGGCAGTAGAGACAGTAATTACACTTGGCTCTTCTTCTTCTTTGTAGGTTTTGTTAGGGTTTGTTGGAAGAGAGGTTTTTTGGGGGTGTGGGGATATGAGGGGTGTGCATTCAATGGGTGAAATATTTTCACAATGATAATTTTGATATTATTTGAGTGGGGAAAAGAAATTTTAAGAGTTTCAAAATTTATAAGTAAGGGTCCAAAAAATAAGGGGTCCAAAAAAATTTATGGAATGCTAATAGCACCACTCTTGCATTATGGATAAATTATAATGACACCCTTGATGTTTGTCTTCATTACTGGTATACCTAACCTTCTAAAAATTGCATTTCTCTGCTTAGATTAATTATTATTGCATTATATATAATCTTCTTCATTTGTTGATTTAGCAATTTTGAGGGAAATTCTATTTTCACACACATAATTATCTTAGTGCACATACTTAATAAAATATTATTTTAATGGCAATTATGCCCTAAACTAAAATGACTATAATGAACATCACTAGTACCCATAATATTTTATGAAAATATTCTCTGTACACATCTTTAAAAAAAAAAAAAAAAAATCTCAATGTACACCTTTTGAGTGAAAAAAAAAAAACTAAACCCTAATTTTTCCATTGTTGTCACTTTGCTTGCTACACACTCTCTACTTCTCTATTACTTACAAAGCAATACTCTTATAGCAACTCTCATATTGTTTTAATCTCTAAATTTATACTCTACTAGTGATGAAAATATTAGTTTTTTCGTGCATAATTTTTTTTTCCTTTTGCGGTTTTCAGTCTGACAACCAGTGCCGAATTATTTCATTATATTCAGAGATCAACTGCCGAATTATTTCATTATATTTGGATATCAACTGTCAAATTTTTTTTTATATTTTTTTCGGAACAAATTTGTCGAACTAATCACTTTTATTCGGAAGTTAAGTTTCGAATTAAATGTATAATTTTGAAAAACCAATGCCGAAATCTCCAAACTAAAAAACATTAAAAAAAAAAACAAAAATAAATCAAAACAAAGTGTGGAAAGAAGAGTTGAGTGGTGTGTGTACAATAATTATGAGTGAAGGGTATAACTGTAACTTTTA